TGTCAGCGCCTAGGAAGAGTGTTTCCGTCAGCCTCACAGCTGCCTCCTTGTCAGAGTGCGGAGGAACCGTCCCTCCTGCCCAGGTCCCAGTGAGCTTCCCCAGCCCGCTGCCATGGCCAGGGGCCTGCCTGCCTGCCTGCATTACCCCTGGGGGCTCAGCTGCCACTCTCGGACCCTCTGGCAGGATCACTGTTGATCGGGCGTAACCCCAAGGGTTGGCCCAGGGAGAGTGCAACCAGCCAGCGCACAAGGATTATTTTTCACTCTTCTTGCTGCGATTTGACTTTCTAAGCAGCTTTCCCAGTCTCCGCAGGGAGAGTGCCAGAAATTCCCTTTCTTTGGGGCATGCGCTCCCTGCAGAGGTGATCCCAGAGATGACAGCCAGTGCTGGCCCCCCTCACTTGCTGTCAAAAGCTGGCCCCGCAAGCTGCTGGGATGGAAGGAATGGGGGGCAGACCTGGAGCTGTGCTGGCCTGGCCTTCAGGAGTCTTGTTGGGACGGCGTGTCCCTCAGACCCCCTGGACTCACTGAGAGCCAGGGCTCCTGGCTATGGAGTGTTCTCTCCCAGGGCTCAGCGGAGCTGAGAGTGTCACTTGTTGACACTGCAATTGTTAACTCTTTAAGTTCCTGAGAGCATTCCCCCTCTCCCCAGGTGTAACCCTTTCAGTACTGGAGCGTAGTCAATATCTCCACCTTCTCCCAGAGCTCCTACATTTGCTCCCCATTCACAACGCAATACATTTAACCTTGTCAGTGCCATGATGCACACCCCCTCTCCCTTGCTTGCAATACACCCACTGCTGGAGAGGTTTAATTAGATCCATCAACTAAACCAGTCAGGGTCAGGATGCATATTAAGATAAAACAAGACACAAACCAACATACATTGAGTTTTCACAAGTCTGTTTTTAAATACTCTATAAAAACAGAAGGAACTCTCAGACAACAATGTTGTGAATGAAGATAGGGTTTGACTGTAAACACATACATGGATTTAAACAACATTATTTGAATATTAAACAGAAACACACGTTGTTTGAAAAACCTGACAATTCTGAGTCAAGATTCCACTAACGGCTTTAAGATGGACCTTGTCCCCCTGCCCATCTTCAAACTATCACCAGAATCTTCCTTGCTCTCATTTCCCATACCTCATCTACTTTTTCTCGCCACCTAATATCAGCCATTAATCTTTGACACATTCACTCAGATATTCAGGGGGAATCACATCTTATCCACGTACAGTGCAGAGAAAACACCTTTCTCATCTGCTATTCCCTTGTAAGCCAGAGGTCTCAACCTACTTCTTCAGCCTTTACATGCAGACTGAAACCCCTGCTGCATCTACTTCATCCAGCCAAACAAGGCTCATTGACACCTTAGCCTGTCCACACCGCACAACCTACCCAGTGTTAGCCTAGGGCACCATCAGTGCCCAATCATGCTGAGATGTGTCTAGAATGTTATACATTAATGCCTTGTACTGTGGTACTATCAGTGTAGGACCTTTTATATCTGTTTCCTCATTGGTTGACCAGGGAAGGTGGAAACAAGTAGAGCCCTGCAGATCTGCAGATATCTGCTTTATATCCACAGATATCCACATCCGTGGACCATGTTTGCTGATCATGGATTGGATGCGGATACAAATTTTGTATCCGTGAAGGGCTCTAGAAACAAGATCAGAGTTAAGGTTGTTTCACTCTGCATTTTCTGGCCATCAGAGTTTGTGCGCAGTGTGTGCTATGACAGAATACACCTGATTTGGTTTGGAGCAGTGGCTCTATCCACAGGAATGGTTTGTTCTGGGAAGAGTTAAATACATTCAAGGAGAAAGGTTCCTGCAACAGCCCCTTGTGCGTCCCAGTTGATTTAATGCGATCCCATTGATACTTGGAGCCTGCAGGACAGCATGGCAGCCAGGCAAGCAAGAAGAATCATTGTTCCTGCAAAATTTGTCAGGATGACCTCAGGTTTGTGTATTTATCTTTGGCAAAATAGACAAAATAAACACACACACAAATCCTCGTCTCTTATTCCTAGGAAATGGGAGGAGAGAAAACCTTAGTGCCTGCAACACATTGGAATTGCTGACGTGTAGATTATTCTTCATTTCAAACCACAGTTAAGTTTCCCAAATTCCACTCGGAGCAGCTATTCGTCGTATTATATGGTGACTGCTGCAGTCTCTGCACATGATACAGCTGTGCTGAGCCCTTTCCCTCCACTGTGGGCAACTGGAAGAGTAGAAATTTGCCATGTATGTTCTGGGCACAGGACTCAAGGGAGGATTACCAGGGACTGTCTAGAGAACCTGGCCTGACAGAGACCATTTCCAACCGTTTCTTCCTGCCTGCAGAAACTCGTTTTCTTCCTGATTCCCACTAAAGCTACCAAAAGTGACTAGTAGAGATGGGCTATCACTAGGTCAAAATGATTCAAACAAACTCTAAGGGCAACAGTTATGTCTGTATCATCAGATGCTGCCCCCGCTATGTGCTGCGGAGATAAGAGGATTCCGGCACTAGGACACCAGTCAGGCAAGTAACATGTTTCCATCGCCCATTAACTCTCTGATAGTCCTTTCTGCAGTTCAGTAACTCAGACCATATAGCGACGGGAAGAGTCCACTTATACTCCTGCCTTAGCCACATCAACATGGAACTGTTCAAAAGACATATGTGATCACGAGTCACAAAGAATAGTTCATCCTTTCTAGAACCTGAGGGAATGATCACAGCCTAACACCTACCACCTGCCTGCTTAGCACCATTTCCAAGGCAACAAAGAGTCCTATTAGGGCCTGTGTATTTTACACCTGTGCAAAGTGGGTGTGAGGCCCAACCCAGTCCGAGTACTCTACTCCCTGACACCAGCATTAGTGTTTTACAGTTACTGTGCGCAGGCTTTGTGCAAATGTAAACGGCGCTCAGGCCTATAAACGACTTGTAGCAAACTGAGATTGACATTTCTGTCATTTATTCAGTTTGTCTCCTTTATTGCATGTTATGTGGCAATTTAACTCAAGATAACAGCCCTGTCTGTGGGATTCATTGATTTCAGCCGACATTCAGCTTTTCCTCCCCCCCCCCCAGTTTTAGCGATGTGTCAACAGTGGGGATTGGGATGCTGTTAGTGCTGGCCCTGAGCTGCTCATGCACTCACCTGCACCATGGCTAGAAACGGACATCCACAAAGCTGGGATTTGGGGAAGATTTGCCCTAAAATAATAGCAAAGAGTCCTGTGGCACCTTATAGACTAACAGACATATTGGAGCATGAGCTTTCGTGGGTGAATACCCACTTCGTCGGATGCAGACTAACACGGCTACCCCTCTGATACTAAAATAATAAATAGGCAAAATGTTGTCAAATCAGCATCATATCTTTCAGCAGCCAAATAGCAGTTCTGGGAACAAAGGCCACAAAGTGAAGAATGCCCCGTAAATCAACTGCATTAAAATTGCTGAAAGGCATGAGAATGTATGAAAGTGAAACCCATAAAGTTTACACTTAGTAAAGAATCATTTGAAAAATATGTTTTGAAATTCTGCTGTCAGCTCCATAATAAACCCCTCTTACAAATAACCCAGAAATGAGTCTTAAAAACAATAATGGTTCATTTGAAAAGAATGTGGTGACACAGAACACATCCCCATCCCCCTCTCTTCAGAAAGGTGGCAGTATTGCTTTGGAGTAGCTGCATGAATTGTTAGGAACTGAGACTTCCTTCAAATGAACAGCAACGAACCATAATATACCAACAAACTCTAAGAAACGACTTAATCTAATGCAGTGTAAGATCCTAGTGATATGGAAACCACACCAAAGCCCTGGACCCAAGTTGTGTGTAACTCAGCCAGACTCGGACCCTTGTGTTTCCCTACACACATTTGGATTTTTAACCAACTGCCAACTTTGTATTTGCTAAGAAAACAAAGTTTAAATTGACCACCCAGCTATCTAAGAGATCCTGATAACACCACACATGTCTAGTATTGATATCGGAAGCCTCTGATCTTCTTATTACCCACAGGATACGCAAAGGCAAAACAAGAGTGGGTGGTGATCTGGAATGTATGTCCCCATGTACAGTAGAACTATAGAGAACTGTATGCCATTGAAGCTAACAGCAGATTGTCAAATACATTTTTCTAGCATTATGATCAATTAATTTACATTAATTAATGTCCGTTAAAAGAATGAGTAACGCAAACACACCCACCCCCCTTATTTATTATAAATATAGAACATGAATAAAATCACAAGTGTCCAGCAGAGGGGCTGAGTCAGAAGTGACCGTCCCATAGTTCACCTTCACTCACCTTCACTCATGCAGACCGTCCTCTGGGAAGCCCCTCACTGGGACTTCCACTAACTCACAAGAGTGGGACATGTTTTTAGTTGCAAACCCTCCGAAAGTGGCACTCCGCTGGGTGGCTCTGGTTTTATTTATCTGATGATGTCACTTTAAATATTTTGCATGTTCCATTTGTTATTTTTACTCTAAAAATGACGCATTTCTGCAAATTCATTTTTATCCAATTAGTCACAACTTAATGGAACAAAGTCAACTGCCTGGATGTCAGAGTAAATGTCAGGCCTGTCTTCTCTGTCACTAGCATGTATATACAGGATAGCACCTGGAATATATGGAGGGGATTAGGCATGTCGTTTTTCACAGCAACTCTTTTGGATTTCTGACCCAGTCCTTCACTATAGGGCCCAGGCCAAGAGAACCGGGAACTGTAGCTTTACCAACATACACCACAAACATAAATTGAAAGCAATGAAAAAGCAGTTAAAAAGTAATAGAGAAGAAGGAAAATGCATTTCTTCATTTGCAGAATAGCCTCTGTGAGAGCAAAGCCATGACAGCTTTACGACTCCCTGATTATTTTACTTGCATGCGGCTTCCAAACATTTAATGAAAACCAGCGTATGGCTGAGGCTTGCAGGAGAGGAAAACTTTAGACGAAATTCTTGATGCTTAGCCCTACCTGATCTGAACTTGCTCCGAATCAGCAAAGAATGCTCAGAACCCAGCAGTGTCATGGTGACTCTCTGTGAACAGGTCCAGAAGCCCCCGCACTTAAAGCATGAACTGGCTCCAAGGAGACAAGCTGGCCACTGCTAGGGCCCCAGGATTCATCCAACCCTCCTGGGAGCCTCTGGGTGCTTTCAGAGCTGGGCTTGTAGAAAGCAGCAAGTGACTTGAAAAGATTTGGTCCCATCCAGCACTGCCCCTCCACAGAAACCAACTGCTCTGCCCTGTGCTGGGTTGAACTAATTAACTTTGAGCTAGCAGGACCCTCCTCCTGCTCAGAGTTTACTATCAGCAGCATCACTGGGTGTCCTGGCTGATGTCATAGTCTAGCAGGGAGCAGCGACTATCACTAAAGGGTCTTAGGAAAGACAGAAGTTTGATATCTGATCCTTATTACTACCAACAGGAACTTAGCCAATCACGAGGCTCTTTCTCTCAGACAGCCGGCTTCAGAGCAACTCTGAAATATCAACAGACCTAGAGCTTAACTCTTTCCAGCATGGGGAGATGTAGCCACTGGGAATTCCGTGTGATGGGACTTAACTGCACAGAACCTAGAGGGGGGCTTAATAGCTGCAACTTGAAAATAATCTGGGCACCTTATTCTCTGATACTTAACAAGAACTTCAGGGACATTACGTGGAGCTCCCTCTGCTTCTGCAGGAAGGGGGACAGGATGAGATAGTTATTCATTGGGCTTTTATGCTCTCTGATGTACAGAAGTTGCAACTTTTTCCATCTAAGGAGTCAAAATGTCCCTGTGGGGCATGTACCATTGCCAGCATACTGGCATGCCCTCCCAGTCTGGTTCTGCTGGGGCTCCTTGCAATGCGCTGATGGACTGTATTTATGCAGGACTCACCGGGTGTTATCTCATTCTGATACCGATAAACCACAGATAAGTGGCGTTTTTTGAGGAAACACAGTCTCCTGGTAATTGCATGGTCATCTTACCATCCAGGCCCAAAACATTTGCTAAAATCAATCGTTCCATAGTTGACTTATTTGTTGGTGCTGAATATTCAATGTGCTGAGGTTATTGCAGCTTAAAATCACCCTTTTGTCCAGGACAGACTAATGCAGTAATCACAGAGATGTGAAACACAGAACACAGAGACTGCTATTGGCCACATGGAGCCATACGGATGCTTCCCCAACTCCCTCCCATCTATCCCATCTCAGAGCTGGCAGTGCCTTTGCAAACACAGGGAGATGGATACAAATCGCTGCACAGCTTTGTTCCATGGAAAAGATGACAGGCAGAAGTCACTACCAGGGTCTGGAAAGAGGGTTTTCCTTTTAGTGTCTGACCAGAATGAGACTTTTGAAGTGAAAAATTTGCCAAGAATGTCCCAGAATCAGAAGCTAGAGATGGGAGCCCTAGGCTCAAAGGAGCTTGTTCCTTATTGTACATTCTCTGGTGCTTTGTCCCATGGTGTTTTAAATGTCCAAGGCAACAGACCCCTGCCATCCCTTCCCTGAGATGCCATTCCCCAGCCTAACAATACAGCTCACTTCCTCATACGCTCCCAAAACTTCCCCCTCACTCCTCCTCGCCCTGAAGAATTCCTCTCTGCCTGTGGGACTTGTTTACGTGCTTCACAGAGCAGTACACTGTTATCACGTCCTCTGCTAGTGTCTAGTCTCCTAGCTAAACTACTCATGTTTGGCCAAACACAAGCTGTTGGGCTCAAAACAGGGGGACCTGAGTGAAATTCCATGGCCAGTGATATGCAGGCGGTCAAACTAGATGATCTGATAGTCCCTTCTGGCCTTAAACTCTATGTTTTGCTCTTTTAATGTTTCCTCCTCACCAGCCCCTTAGGTTTTAACTTCTTTGTTGCTCTTCTCTCAAGCTGCCTTGCTCAATTGCGCTCTAATATTGCTGTGCCCAGAAGTGAATGGCATTGTTCAGATGGGGCCGCACCAGAGCCATGCAGTGTGGAACTAGAATCCAGCTACTCCCAGATGGGATCTCTCAACATCTGCAGCCCAGTATTGCACAGCCCGTCCCCCCTGCGTCAGTACGTTGTAAATGCATATTTACTTTGTTGCCCCTGGCCTTCCTCGTCTATGGCTTATGCGGAGCTTTCCCTGCTCCATAGCATTCTGTGTGGTCGAACCACTCTTCCCTCTGCGTCCCTTGGAGGACTTCTCTCTCTTCTCTTCAGTATTATCTGCAGGTTTCATTGATGTGCCGGTTACCTGCCCTTCCAGATCAGCTATGTGAGTCTCTGTGACAGCGTATTACGGGCTGAGGGGCAGGGTCCCTGTGGCAATGTGTTCTGGCCTGTGGGGCCGAGGGGAGGGGTCTCTGTGACTGTGTTATGGCCTCTGGGGCCGAGGGGAGAGGTCTGTGTGACAGTGCATTATGGCCTGTGGGGAGAGGTCTGTGTGACAGTGTGTTACGGCCTGTGGGGCTGAGGTAGGGTTGCCAACTTTCTAATTGCAGAAAACCAAACACCCTTGCCCCGCCCCTGCCCTGCCCTGCCCCTTCCCAAGGTCCTGCCCCATCCCTTCTCTGAGGCTCCATCCCCACTCACTCTATCCCCTCTCCCTCTGTCGCTTGCTCTCCCCCACCCTCACTCACTTTCTCATTTTCACCAGGCTGGGCAGAGGGTTGGGGTGCGGGCTCTGGGGTCAGACTAGGGACGAGGGGTTTGGGGTGCAGGAGGAGGTTCCAGCTTCGGGGGGGTGGGGCCGAGGGGTTCAGAGTATGGGATGGGGTCCCGGCTGAGGCAGGGGGTTGGTGTGTGTGGGGGGGTACGGGCTCTGGGCTGGGGGGTGCAGGCTCTGGAGTGGGGCAAGAAATGTGGGGTTCGGGGTGTGGAAGGGGGTTCTGAGCTGGGTCAGGGGGTTGGGGCACAGGAGGGAGTTCAGGGTGCAGGCTCCAGGAGGGAGTTTGGGTGAGGGAGGGGGCTCAGGGCTGGAGCAGGGAGTTGGGGTGTGGAAGAGGGTGTGGGCTCCGACTGGGGGCGTGGACTCTGGGGTAGGGCCAGGAATGAGGAGTTTGGGGTGCGGGAGGGGGCTCAGGGCTGGGGCAAGGGGTTGGGATGCAGGATGGAGTTTGGGGTGCAGGCTCTGGGCAGCGCTCACCTTGGATGGCTCCCTGCAAGAGGCAACATGTCCTTCCGGCCCCTAGCCGAAGGTGGCTATGTGGTGCGTGCTGCCTCCACCTGCAGGCGCCGCCCTCGCAGCTCCTATTGGCTGCGGTTCCCGGCCAATGGGAGCTGCGGAGTCGTGCTTGGAGCATGGCGTGGGCAGCACATGGAACCCCCATGGCCGTTCCTCCGCCTACGAGCCGAGGGACATGTTGCTGCTTTCGGGGAGCCTCGCAAATCCAGGTAGAGAGCCTGCCAGCCCCACACCAACTGGATATTTAATGGCCCGGTCAGCAGTGCCGACCAGAGCTGCCAGGGTCCCTTTTCGACCTGGTGTTCCGGTCAAAAACCAGACACCTGGCAACCCTAGGCCCTGTGCCCCTCCCTTCACATTACTGCTGGGAGGAGGCTCATTCGTTTCCTTTTCCCCATGTAATTCCCATCATTGTGCCGGGGGGCCTGAGGGAACGCTAGAGTAGACAAGTCCCCACCAGTCATTGGTCTCATAGAACCTGGCTGAGGGCAAGTCTCAGCAGCACAGTGGGAAAATGCCAGCAGCCCCCAGAACCTCGTCTGCACTAGCACCCCACTGCCACTCTCACCATGGGCTGCACCAGGGGAGCAATGGTGGGGACTAGGCTAGCGTAGGTGAGGCCCAGTCGGACAATCCACATTTGCCTGGCAAAGCAAGAGCAGAGAGGGAAGCCAGGGCCCGCTGGTGTGAGCTGCAGTGAAGTCCCTTGGCAGGGACTCAGCAAGCATATGAAGCTCTGCGAGGCAGGGAGAGAAGCAACAGGCCTGAAAGCAGGAGGGCTGGGCTGGGCTGAGCCCAGGGCCAGTCATTAAGCAGCAAGGGAAATGCCCCAAAACAAAGATCAGGAGCAGGATGGAGAAGGAAGGGGGATCAGAAGAGGGCCAAGGTCCAGCCCCCCAGTTCTGCGCGGGTGTCACTGTCAGCATGGGCAAGAGCTCTCAGGGGGCTGTAGTGGGCAATCTCTATGGTTGCAGTTGACAGAGCTGTGAAATAGAAGGGGTCCCTGCTCCTGCCAGGTGTCCCAGCCCTCTGCCGCCCATTCCCGGGGCCTGTGGAGTGAGTACCTGAGTAATGAGCACATTGGTATGTGCTGTCCTGCAGCCAGGTTGGCTCAGTGTTTTAATGGCCCCAATAAACCTGCTCCCACTCCTCCTCCCTGGTCTGCCAGGCTCAAGGGGAGATGCTGCTGCGCTGGGTCACACTGTGACCGACACGCCCTGGGCTTGGCACAGTCTCGCTCATAAATCTCTGGAGATGGGGAAGGTTTCCTCAGGTCAGTTACAAAAGGTTCCGTTCAGAACTAAAATCCCGTTGACAGTGGTGATCAGAGGGAGTAAGTGAGAAATAGAGAGACGGTGGGATCCCATTGCCCTGGGCAAGCGCTGCACAAGGAGAAGTCAGCACCACAACCCTGGAGGAATAGCCCCTTCACTGCTGGGCTTCTATGCCTAGGGCTTCTCTTCTGTGTTCAAATACTCCAGAGGGTCCCCAGGAGCAGGGGATGTCTCAAAAGCCTCCTGGCCTGTAGGCAGGATCCCTGCTGCACCATAGAGCACCTCCTCAAAGCCTGCCAGCTCCCAGAAGCTCATGTAAACAAGCCCCTCCCAGTGCTCATCAGCTCCTGCTCTCCCCAGTGCTGGGGTGTAATGGTTTCCATTAGTAAATCCAGAATGTGGCACAGCTCAGCCCATGACAGGAGGGCCTGGGGAAGGGGGGATGCCGATTCATGAGGGAATGGCCAAAAGCTGCAGAGGTTGGCCTCTGCCTTGCCCTGGACAACCCAATGGATCAGTGGCCTTCTACCTCAGTGAGTCTCCCTCACACCTCCCTGACCCTCTGTGAACCACTGACTCCTCTTGGCCTTCCTCGCCTCCCAGTAC